AAGAAAAAAGCCGGAAGTGGCGCTGTGGCTCAAGTGGTAGAGCGCTAGCCTTGAGCTGAAGAGCTGAGGGACAGCGCCCAGGCCCAGAGTTCAGGCCCCGTGACCGGACCAAAAAAAAGAAGTATTTTGAAGTGGCATTCACTGAGAGACACTACAGTGGGGAATATAACAACAGGCAAACTGGAATAGTGGAATATTGAAGGTAGAGAAAAATTTCATCATAGGCAGAGAAAACAGGTACGCTTGCTGCATCAGACCAAGGTGTGAGCTGTAAAGGACTTGATACAGACTATGAAGTTGAAAACTTGTGCTATGGGCACTAAGAATCTGGAAGGCGGTTGAGCAGGAGGAGGAGGCTTCCATTATGTTGCTTCCCCAGCCATCAGGAGGCTGGGGTGCCTGATAGCATTGTGGTTCCTCTCTTCCCAAAGCTGGTCAAGAGCCATTGCAGAATGAGGAGGAGCCAGTAGTGGCAGGCCGGCTATCCCAATTTCGGCCCCTCGAGCCTGAAGAGCAGAGAGCTGGAGGCAGGCCCAGGCGCAGGAGGGACCTAAACAGCCGCCTTCAGGCCCAGCGTCGAGCCCAGCGTGTGACCTGGACAGAAGGGGATGACAATGAGGAGGAAGGTGCAGTCCCAGGTAAGAAGGGTTCAGCCTTATGGGGAAGAGAGTTGGATTGAGAGTGAAGAATTTCCCAGACTCAGTGGGGTTGTTGAGTGTGAAGCAACAGTGCAGGAGGGATGTCTGGGAGTCACAGAGTAGGGTCAGTAAAGATTTAGAATCTGGGTCCTAGAATGTGGCTTAGTGGTAGAGTGCTTGCCTCATATGCATGAAGCCCTGGTTCAATTCCTCAGTACCACATACACAGAAAAGGCCAGAAGTGGCGCTGTTGCCCAAGTGGTAGAGACACCTCCATGACTGGCCAAAAAAAAAAAAAAAAGATTTAGAATCATTGGCCATGGGGCCAACAATTCTCTATCCTAACCATCCATTTGGCAAGCCCCCTCTCAGTATTTAAGCAAGAGGACAAGGGTCTTCAGAATGATCCAGGAATTCCTCATCCTATGTCTTATGTCCTAGCACCCTTCCTGGAGTAGAGTCACTTACTTATAACCCACCAGGAAGGATCTGCAGGTAGCTACATTTCCTTTCACATCGAGGCCTCCTTAATTTATGGTGCTACGAGACCAGTAGGTTCCTTAAGATTGGAGAAAAAGGGGGCTGGGAAGGTGACTCAGTGGAAGAGTGCTTGCCTCTGGTGAAGCCCTGGGTTCAATTCCTCAGCACCACATAAGCAGAAAAAGCCAGAACTAACATTATGGCTCAAGTGGTAGAGCGCTACCCTTGAGCTGAAGAGCTGAGGGACAGTGCCCAGGATGAGTTCAAGTCCCACGACCAAAAAAAAAAAAGATGGGAGAAAGGGATGTTTCTTTTACAGTACTTAAAGGCTGGCTGTTGCCTGAAGAGGGAGTATCTGGGTCTTTCCCAGAAACTGGGGGTAATTGAGGCTCTTGCCTTGAGCCCTTAGGATTAGCACCTTTGCCTCAAAAAGAAGCTCTCTGAGACAGGTGTGGTGGCACACACTTGTAATCCCAACACATAGGATGCTGAAGTGGAAATGCTTCAAACTTGAGGCCTACCTGGGCTACATAGTGGAACTCTGTCTCAAAATGAAACAAAAGCTTGCTAGGCATGGTAGTGTGTACCTGTAATCTCAGCATTCAGGAGGCTGAGGCAGGAAGATCATGAGCTCAAGACAAACCAAAGCTGTTTAAGACTCTGTTTCAGAAAACAAAGCAAAACAAAAAAGAATAACAACAAAAAAATAGGGCCTTCCTGTTTCAGACTTGGGGTCAGAACCTTTATTTAGTCACCAGATCCTTAACTTTCGGTTGGTCCTGGTGTAGTCCTGGGATTAAGGCTGATTTTGTTTTGGTGTGTGTATACCAGTCCTGGAGCTTAAACTCAGAGTCTGGGGACTGTCCCTGACTCAAAGATAGTTCTTTACCACTTGGGCCACAGCTCTACTTCCAGCTTTTTGGTGCTTAATTGGAGATAGTCTCATGGACTTCTGCCTAGGTTGGCTTCCAACTTGATCCTCAGATCTCAGACTCCTGAGTAGTTAGGATTCTAGGTATGAGCCACCAGTGCCCAACTGAGGCTGATCTTTAACTTGTAGCCTGGCTTTGGTAGGACAAAAGGAGAATCTTGGCCAGGAGCTGAATCTACAATGCTCAGAAGTTTCTGACTAGGGTGAGGAGCATTTCAGCTTTGAAGTTGGGGTAAATTTCCTCATAGGGCCATTACCCCTGGAGGTTTGACACAAATGGAGACCAAGGACTTTTATTTTTTTTTTTTTTTGTCGGTTGTGGGGCTTGAACTCTGGGCCTGGGTGCTGTCCCTCAGCTCTTCAGCTCAAGGCGAG